AAGTTCAACCATAAAAGGAATGTATACCTCACAGGTCTATTTTTACCAATGCAGCTACACAGACACAGACACATACACAGACACACACACACTACTCTTAGTGCCACAGGCTGATACTATGAGATATTCATTTGGTCCTGGCCTCCCACTACTAAAATCCTTGACCACTCCAAATTGATGTGTCCTTTCCCTCCACTACTGAGATAATGTTACCAGTCACCCACAGGCCAAGACAAGATTTGAGGGTTGGGGCTCACATCCCCCCTCCCAGCCTCTTGAGCGAGGGGTGGTACTCAAGTTCAAATTGATCACCAATGGCGAGTGACTGCATCCTCTGTGCTCACTACGAAGCTTCCAAGACAAACTTCCAAAAGGCAGCACCGAGAGAGCTTCCAGGAGCTCCCTGAGAGGGGCATGCTCAGGACGGGTGCAGGCGCTCAGGACCTTCCTAGCAGACCCACCCCACCTGTGCATCTTCCATCTGGCTCTCCATCTCCAGCCTTTCTTTAACAATAACCCCAGAGACGCTCGGAAGCATTTCCATGAGGTCTGGGAGGTGCTCTATACAAGCCAATCCCACTGTAGAGGAGACTGTGGGAATCCCAATTTATAGAAGGTCAAAAGCACAAGTGAAACAACTGGAGCTTGGGACTGAAGCAGCAACTGTCACCTGAAGAGAGGGAGGTCTTGGGGACCAAACTCTCAACCTGTGGGATGTGGCACTAGCTGTAGGTAGATGGTGTTGGAACCAGTTGGGTTATTTGTTATTAGGTTATTCATCTGGTTACGAATTGGAAGACTCGACTGGTGCCAGGTGCTGCGGCATTGCTTGTGTAGTGGGTGGGCAAACCCCCCACACACTGTGTCAACAAATGCTGTGAGAGTCGGGTAGAAAAACCTGAGCTTATTTTTTCCTGCATCTTCAGAAGGACCAAAGAAATAAATCTTAAGATTTCCTTTTGCACTGACGTTTCAAGTTTAAAGAGGTTGAGTATTGAACATAACAAGAACAGCTAGTATTAAAATACAAAATCTGAGGTGAGCGTTTTGTTTCAATTCGGAGAAATCCCTTGGAAAATCTTTCAGCCCAGCGGCCACAGACATCCAGTTCATCAAGTGTTGGACAACAGGTGCACTGTGGGGCCCAAGCGACTTAACACAATTTCCTTCCCTGGGTCGCTCTGCATATCTGTCACATGGAAGTAACGCTACCAGCTCTCCCAAGAGTTGTGGACAGGTAGCAAAATATTCAAAACTATTTTGAAAACAGAAAAGTGCTATAAATTTTAAAAGACTGTGTTACATTGATTTGCATTTACTTTTTTATCCTTTCTTTTTTGGTCCCGGGGAATCAAACTCAGCACCTTGTACTTGCCAGGCAGGTGCTGCGCCCTTGAGCTAGGCTGCTGGCCCTCACCTGCATTTGAACTGTCCTGCATGGTCATTTTAATGGGCCACAGGTAAAGTCTGCATCTACATTGGAGATGTCCATTCTCACTGTCACTAAAGTCTCCCTGGGATCAGCTGGATAATCGGAAGGGCCGACCTTCAGGATGTCTTGTTAGCCACAGGGCCTATAAGCACTATATCAAGAGGGATTCTGTACAAGTGAATAAATTAAGAAGGAGGGGCTGGAGAGATGGCTCAGTGGTCTAAAGCACCTACTTAGAACAAGCTTAGCAAAAGCATCAGGGACC